AAGTAAGTGGAGGTCTGATCCATTATCTTTTCCTTATCTGCATAAATAAATTAAATAATGACACAACAAAGGCCAGAATGACAAATGGAGACTACAATTCATCAAACAAAAGCATGATTTATTTGTCAGTCAGGACCATAGTTTTGGGTGGACAACAGACTCGGAAGTCCGTCACAGGGAGACGAGTTTCTGCCATCCATATACTTAATACATATACAGCATGTTTTTTTTTTTGGCTTTATTCATGAGTCGTTACCAACACAAAGCAATAACTTGAGACTTTTAGTTATTTCCCCCCTTCTTCTCATTATTCTAATAATTATTGCATCGGAAGAGGGAAAAGAGGAAGGTGATGACAGCAAGGAGATGACCACCCTATAAAAGATTACCTTGTCAGTGTTTGAGAAAGAAATTAAAAGGAAAAGGAAAACAACTGCAAAGGCCTTTTATACAAGAACACCAGGAAATGCTAGGCAGAAAACAAAAATCAAAAGAAAAAGGAATAGACTAGTTCCTTAACAGTTGTAAATAAGTCCAGTATTCTAAGAAGAGAAAAATTAATACCACAATCCGAATTCGTGGTCTTGACAGATCTGGCTGCGGCGGTAGCAGCTCTACAATATCCGGGGCGCATTGAACGCCTTCAACAACAGTCCCTTCACTAATGGTAATCAAATGTCGCTTATTGACGGAACCATCAATAGTTGCAATATATCTATAGCAAAACATTTCAGTAAGATTCAGTATATCAGGTAAGTAAGCACATAATGTTGAATGCTTGACCACTGCTGAAACTTACTCTTTTAATACTGAATCAAACGATAGGAAAGCAGAATGAATTCTAAAATAAGTATAAGAAATGAAAAGCAAGAATCCCATTCAAAGAATGGACAAAAATATCAACAAGAACTTACTCCTTGGATAATTTAGAAGAAGGATGTGAAAGCTTCTGAGCAAAATCCCCTAAAACAAAAGTAATTCAACAAATACCAGTACCGTATAAACATCATTATTAGTAACATCAATGAGTCAAAATAAAAAATACCATCATTTGTAACTATAAGCAATCCAATTGTGGCAACATCAAGACGACCAACAGTAAATAGTCGTGGTTTTGGTAGTCCAGGGTTCCTTTTATCCTGCGAAAAATGCAAAAAATACTCATATGTCAAAATAAAGCCCTTGCTGGAGGTGCCATCAAATTAGTATAGGGATATAGAACACTTTAGTTGCAAGGTCTAGTGCAAAATACATAAACAATTCAGCCCAACATACCCAACTATTCATAAAATCATTGAACAGAGACAGCACGGACTTCGTCTCCTTCTCTCCAGCTGAGCAAATGTAACTGCAAGATTATACTGTTTTTCAGCTTATAGAAAATGTGCATGATTCAAACGCTGAAGTCTCAAATACTAATGACAAGTTACATAGATAGACGTTGATAACAAACCCTTTCGGCTTGTTTAGCGCAAAATAGACCTTTGGGGGCAGTTTCTTAGGCAGGCGGTTCCCGTTGACATAGATCACATCCCTAACAGGATCAACTCTGGTCTGATCCATCACACAAGCAAATAAATGCCATACTTCATCATAAGAAACCACATCATAAAAAAAAATGGTTTTCTTCTTTAACAGTGCAGCTGTCTAACCTGAGGAGTATTGCATACAGAACCATTAACAGTCACTTTACCTCCGAAAATAAGCTCTTCGCTGTTTCTTCTTGATGCCACTGTCAAATCAAACCCAATCATACAGAAACATTAAATGTAATTCAACATTTTCCATCCACAAACATCACTAGCCGCCGTAGAGTATGACAGCTTAAGTATACTAAAACTTTGTATCATCAGACATTAAATTGTCTCAAGAAATAGTAATGCGTCCATTAGACAAATGATACTGCGGTCACGCAGCACACCCCTCATAATAAGAAACGCTTTAAATTTAACAATACAATTACAGCAAAATAAGTGCAATTTACAACCAATAGAGCACAAGGTACACCGCCTCGTGCAGTAGCATCCACATTTATTTGATAAAACTGAACTAAATAACTAAATAAGCAGTGAAGGTTACCTCCAGCAGCAGCTAAGACCTTACTAAGCCGCTGAGGCGGGTCCCGGAAATTCTCATTATAAAACCGGCGGGCAGCCTTGGAGAACTTCGGCTCAGCTGTGGGAGAAGCCGGCTTTACTTTGGAGTCTTTCTCTTTCTTCTTCTTCTTCTTCTTAGTCTCCGCATTGGCCATCTGGTGAAGTAGACGAGCCGGAGGAGTAGACTGGAGGGTGAGGTTGCCACTCTCGTCGCGGACAATCCACGGGATGTAGAGTTGGTCATCCAATTCGCTAGCTGAGTCCTGGCCCGGAGTTTCAGTGGCGGATTCGGATGCGGGTTTGGGCTTGAGCTTGGGCTCGGACTTGGGCTTGGGAGGGGCGAAGGTGATGTTGAATTCAGGTGTGGTGGAGGGAGTGGAAGAGAGTGAGGAGGCAATTATGGTGCGGAGATGGCGGTGAGTGGTGCGGGTGAGAGGAATAGCGGGTTTGGTTAGGTGGAGGGTGGCGAAAGCCGTGGAGGCAGCAGCAGCTACTGCGGCCATTAGCGCCGCCATGTTCAGTGGCGCTGGGGTGGAGTGGGAAACGGCGATGGGGGTTGAAGTCGAGAATTTAGATAAGTAGAGGGAGATTTTATCTCAAGACTTAATTCCAATAAAGCCCTCTGCAGTTTGGCGTCTCCGGCAGAGAATAATTAATTATGATACACCTAAGGTCCTAAACTATAATGATTAATTCATGATTTGGTCATTCCAAATCTCTGACCAATTTGTTTGGCAAGTTAATTACAGTTGCCACCGTTAGATTTGATTCTTTATCGCTAGTTTGAATCATTGAGTCGAATTTTGATTCACTGGTTTGACATCTCAATATTAACAGCTTTAATAATTATCAAAACGTAAATGTTGAATTTTGATGTATGGCTTTATCCATCTTTCTTTTGGTTTTGAGTGTTAAAATATTACTATTACTTTTTTTAAAAAATATTCTTCTTAACGAATTTAAAAAAGAGTATTTTATATATACATTAATAATTATACACTATCATGATTGAACGTACGATACATGTGTATTTGGATTTCGTTCTTTCTTTCTTTTTATTGTTTTAAGTTTTCGTTGTTGGAATTGGGTTTTAAGCTTTTTTTTTTTTTTTTTGGGATTGGGTTCAACTTCAACATATTGAAGAAGATTGCTTAGGAATTAGGATGTCTACTGTATTATTCAATTACCCTTTCAACCAATTTCACCGATTATCTGATTTATGACACTAAGGAACTATATAGTTTCTCTTCTTAAATTCCTATAATTAAAAAACTTGTAAATCAATTTCCTTCTCCCCATAATTGATTTATATGTCCTTTTCCCATTTTTTAATAATTCATCACTACCAAAATTTTAGAGTGTCCATTGGATAGGGTATTATTTGAAATATTATTTGGAATAATTACTGTAGCACTTTTTATGATATGATGTATGTGAGATAAAAAGATAATTGGGAAGATAAAAAACTGTATTGGAAATTGTAATGGTGATGTCAGCAAATATATTTGGCCAAATAATCTACTGTCCAAACAAACCCACTCTATCCCTTTTTTTTGTCTTATTTTAAATCAACTGTCCTCCAATTAGTTTCATTGCACTCTCTGACAGTCCAATCAGAAAAAAAAATTAAAGAATTGCAAAATCAATTACCTTCTCCCTTGCATCTACGCTCATATGGCACTAATTTGTGTTTCTTTATAAATTAGCCGTTTATTGAATATTTCGTTTGCTTTTCCTTTGGAAAAAGGTTATCAAATGTGAATTACTAATCAATTCGTTCCGTTAACACATCTAATTCTTTGAAATGGTGCTTCACCACATTCAGCCCGCCCAAGTGACTGACTGGATATGGTGCATCAAGGTGTAAACTAATCATTAATTTAGTTATAATTTTACTAGTTGTATCAATTTTTGTCCTTTTTTGTCCAGTAAAGTGTTAGATATCTTGAGTTTTACTATTCAATATCGGTTTCAAATATTCACCTTTTTTCTTGAATTTATTCCTTGAAGATAAAAGAATATGAGAAATTTAACAAAATTGTATCCTTATATTATTTAAAAATGAGTTGCGGTCAAAGGAGTTTTGAATTTCAATCGTATGGATAAGAGATTTTTGGAAATGTGAAATGTTATGTAATTTTTTAAAAGTTTTTGGTACAACTAAGGGCAGCATGTGTTTAGGTATATTTAACAAATTGCCTTCATTTTTTGTACATTTAAAGTTTTGATTTATGGAAACATCTAGATATTTCTGAAATATGAAATTATTTTACAACCGTTTTTGCATTGAGTACAATTCATATAAATTTATGCGTTGGTATAATTACTGAAATGGTGTTATAGACACGTTTAATTGATGTGTGACTTTTGTTGTGCAATTAACACAAAGACATATTAACACGTTGTGCAATTAACATATTGTTATAACTAATCGTTGGAGGATATTCCTTTGTCTGAAACAACTTATATCTGCTCTTCGACGATTTTCAACTGACTTCTATAGGGACCTTTTTGGAATGGTAAAATTGTAAAAGTATTGATAAAGTAAAGTGTACGAGTGTGTGCTGCAATTATAATGTATTATTAGTTTTGTTATGTCTATAACCATTTCTTTTCAGAATGTACTATTATTTGTTAAATAGAAAAACCCTCTCTTCTAATCACAGCCTTCACAGGCACCAAACACCTGCGGATTGCACGGACATTCCCTTCTAATACATTAACAGTGTATATAAAATTAATTCATACAAAAATTATTTATTCACAGGGGCAATATAATATTCCAAGTTCCGGTATATTTCATTCATTTATTTTTACTTTTTTGAATCTCTTTTTGAAGAAAAATGAATGAAGTGTCATTTCTGGCAATATAATATTCATCTTACAAGGATCCAAAGCACTTTTCGAATTCCAATGCAAAATATGTAAACCGAATCGATCCTTCGAATCAAACTTCCATTCCTCCGCTCCATCAGAAAACAAAATACTGACTCCATTCCTCCGGCCCTCCAATTAGTCCCACCACCGCCACTTTCTACTTTCTATGGCCACTTCCATTCGTCTCCGCCGGCTGGGAACCGTCGCCCTCGCAGCCGGTGGTGCATATACTATTCTCCGTGACCCCTCAATATCCGTGAACGACAGAGGTGGTGGTTCTGCTTTACAGATTGTAAAGCAGAAAATTGCAGACCCATTTGCCGTCATCCCCAGCCGAGCCGTTCAGGAATCAGCTCTTATGGGCGCCAGTTTAGCCAACCCTCTTGACGTACTGGTTGTTGGTGGTGGTGCCACCGGCTCCGGCGTCGCCCTCGACGCTGCCACGCGTGGCCTTCGTGTTGGGCTTGTCGAGCGCGAAGACTTCTCCTCTGGGACTTCTTCAAGGTCTACTAAATTAGTTCATGGAGGTTAGAATTTCAAATTTAAATAAGTGCACAGTTATTCAGTAATGTTCAGACGAATCGTTGGTAAGTCTGGCAAAATGACTAAATATGGTTAAATTTCTAAAAATTTATTGATCTTTTGGGTTACAGATAATGATATATATTGGCAAGGACGCATAGTATTTGACTATATATAGATAAATTGCTAAAAAATGATTGATCTTTTGGAATACGATTAATGATATATATCGTTAAGGACGCATAGTATTTATTCATCGTTGAAATCTCCTTTCTATGCATGTGGCATGCGGGAAATAAGCTTTTTTGTGCTCAATTGCTAGATATGGTCAGAAAGGCTTGATCTTTTTGCTCTTGAGGTATTGGGATTTAGTCGCTTAGGTAATAGTGTTGAAGATAGAATAGATAGAGGTAACATTAAAAGTTGGTGGTTGATGTCTACTACCTTACTCTATCATGCAGAAGGTCAGGAGTGATTAGAAACTTTTGCAGTATCTTTTGCTTCTGTGTATTGGCATAAGGTCATTGAGAGAGCAGTGAAGATGAAAAGATAGATAAAGAAAAGAGAAATTTAGTAGCTCGGCATTTTATGCGTGCTCCATTGTGCAGGATGTCAGGAGTTCGACTCCTTGTGACCACCTTGCAATGATCACAAAGAAAAGTAAAGGTAAAAAAAAAAAAAAAAAGAGTGTTCCAGGTGGCTATAGACAGGACAATTTTTGCCAAGATTTAGTGCCAAGACAGTTGTGTGGTGAGTGTGCTTGATGTGATATGCTATCTTTCAGTATATTTGGGAACCTTGAATCTAGATGTAGAATGTCTTTTAGTATAGTTGGGAGCTATGGTTGGAGTTTATATTATAGTTGTCTGCAGTTTAAGCTTAGTTTGAAATGCGGAGCCAGTTTAAGCATATGCAGTAAATGAAGCAACATATAAAAGGTGGATGATCGAGGGTGGGCACAGAACTTCCCTTTTTTGTCATATATTTAGGGGAAGGGGCATTTCATCTGAGTGAAATTGGTGATATTTGTGTTTATAAGATTGCTTTTAACTGAATTGGTGAATGCATTAAGTTTCAAAGCACTGGAAGGTCTTCATCCTAAATTCATGTGTTGCTACAAATTGTCCAGCATATGATGATCTCACGGTTATTAGATCTGCCCATCTAAGTTTGAGTACAGAAATTATCATCATGGTCTAGATGTGATGTGAGTGGACTTCGATATTTCAAGCATAGGCGTTCATTAACTGTAGTATCATTCAAGAAATTTCAAGTTTAAAGAACTTTAGAAGCTCACGAGTTCAATCATTGGATTTTTCAAAATGGGAAATGTTTGCTACTTGCAGGTCAAAGCACAATTTTGACAAACCTTATGAAAATTTGCTCATCTGTCTTGATATTATTGGCTAGCATGAGCATGATATCATTCTATTGATAGTAACTGGTAAGTTAAGTAGTCTATGTCGATCATTGCAATCATCTCATAGTTGATATTCCTTTGTTGGTGCTTATGACTCTTCAGATTTAATTCCACCCAATTTGTCCTGTACCAATCTCCCAGGTTTTGAAAAAATTCATTGATCATGTATGATGGCAGCTCATAATGGACTCTAACGAGTTTAGAACATATTATACAACTTTTTTCCAAAAAACCCCACTTTCTTGTTGTTCTGTTATTATACTTTAGAATCAACAGGGCATTATTGCACATTTTTTGCATTTAAGCCTTGGTGCTTATTAGAAGTATCTTTTACAGGAGTTCGCTATTTGGAGAAAGCTGTTTTTAACTTGGATTATGGGCAGTTAAAGTTGGTTTTTCATGCACTTGAGGCGCGCAAACAGGTTATTGACAATGCTCCCCACCTCTGCCATGCTTTGCCATGCATGACGCCGTGTTTTGACTGGTTTGAGGTGATCTACTACTGGATGGGCTTGAAAATGTATGATCTGGTTGCTGGACGCCACCTGCTACACGTATCCAGATATTATTCTGCTCAGGAGTCTCTAGAACTATTTCCTACTCTAGCAAGGAATGGTAAAGAGAAAACTTTGAAGGGCACGGTGGTTTATTATGATGGACAAATGAATGACTCGAGACTCAATGTTGCAATAGCATGTTCTGCTGCTTTAGCTGGGGCAGCTGTGCTTAATCATGCAGAAGTAGTATCACTTCTCAAGGATGATGTTACTGGCCGCATAATCGGTGCACGCATTCGCAATAACTTATCTGGTACAATGAGAATTACACTACCTCTTGCTTTGTTATTTTACTTTCCTTTCCAACAGTGCATTTTAGAGCAGTGTAGTGTGTACAATGTGTTTATATTTCAACTGGATTCAGGCTGGTGTAGAATTTTTAATTTCCTTTCCAACAGTGCATTTTGGAGCAGTGTACTGTGTACAATGTGTTTGTATTTCAACTGGATTGAGTCTGGTGTAGAATTTTGAGTCTATCATTTTCGCTTACAGCATCTCAGCATTGTACGGTTTTCCTTGTAAATTGTGTTTCTTTATGAGTTGCAGTTCATGAGACTACTTATTTGAGTAAAAACACTGGTTCATAATCCAACTCTCTCTCTTAACCCATTGTGTAAAACATAAAAAAGCATATTTTTCTCATTGCATTTACTAATTTTTTTTTTTAAATTTCCTTCCCCTCTTGTACTCATTCCTCTGTGTACTCTCAGGTCTCAATATTTTCATCCTGTACCAATTAGCCAATGTCATCGACTTGCTCTTAGAGATCTTACTTTTTAAAGTGTGCAGGCAAGGAGTTTGATACATATGCAAAAGTAGTTGTCAATGCTGCTGGACCATTTTGTGATTCTGTGCGGCAAATGGCTGACAAAAAGGCAAAACCAATGATCATTCCTAGTAGTGGTGTGCATATTGTGCTACCTGATTACTATTCACCTGAAGGAATGGGCCTCATAGTTCCAAAAACTAAGGATGGTCGTGTTGTCTTCATGCTCCCATGGTTGGGGAGAACAGTTGCTGGTACTACAGATTCAAACACCTCCATTACAATGCTACCAGAGCCTCATGAGAATGAGATTGAATTCATATTGGATGCTATATCTGGTTATCTGAATGTCAAGGTTTGTTGGTTTGCCTAACTTGATTTCGTATCGAGTGCTGAATCTCAGTCACCTAACTTATATGTGATTCAATGCATAATCTGTCATTAGCCTTAGAGGACCTTTTAATTTATTTGATTAGATGAAATCCAAAGTGTTATTCACTGCTGGTATTTCGTTGGGTTATCTTCAACATTTGTATGGATTATAAAGTTGCAGAATGCTTTAAATATCAGGTTCTTAGTTCTTGTACAGCATATTGACTACTGTAAGCTAGTTTGAGGCATTGTTTGGTCTAGTCTAAAACTACTAGACTTAGTTTAACATTTTGTTGAGTTTTTGCTTGCATTTGATGTTAGCATTTTGGTTTCAAGAAATTTGGGGATCAGGAAAAGGCTGATGAGCGCAAGTTGCATGTGATGAATCTGCCATGGTAAAACCAGTTAATTAGCTAATATTCGATTGTGTTGTGAACTCTTCTTGTTCTTTTAGGTCTCTTGTAAATGGTTTCATGTGGTTTTGAAGTGTGTTCTTTCTTTTTTCCTTAATGTTATATTTGTATAATATCTTGTGGGGACTAAAAGTTTGTCAGAAAACTAGGTTCGGCGCACAGATGTACTTTCTGCTTGGAGTGGTATTTGTCCATTGGCAATGGATCCTAAAGCAAAGAACACAGAGAGCATTTCCCGTGATCATGTTGTTTCTGAAGACTACCCTGGTTTGGTAACAATTACCGGTGGTAAATGGACTACATATAGAAGGTATTTCGTTTTTTTCCTTTTGGTTTACTGAATTAGAAGCATACCTTTTATATCCTCACTTCTCGGCATTCACACCTGAGCTCACTTATTGTGTCAAGTATATTCTAGTGGTTAGCTATCTTCTGAGTTTCTTTTGATAAGATTCTTGGGGTGGAGATGTTAGTAAGCAGAATCAACATTTTTCTTACATTTATGCCCCAGTGCTTGCTTCTTCTTTTTTTTTTTTCAGCATTGTGGACAAGTATTTTTTTTTCCTAATGACAATCTGTTTCAGCATGGCAGAAGATGCTCTTGATGCTGCCATAAAGTCTGGGAAATTGAACCCAACCAACAAATGCTTAACATACAACATACAACTCGTAGGTGCTGATGGGTGGGAACCTGCGTCTTTCACCATACTAGCGCAACAGTATATGCGCATGAAAAGGACATATCGTGGAAATGTTGTTCCAGGAGTGATGGATACTGCTTCAGCAAAGCATTTATCTCATGCGTATGGTACTCTAGCTGAACGAGTGGCTGCAATAGCTCAGGTATACTAGTTTAACTCTTTTTATTTGTTTGTGCAATTATTTCTTTGATTCAATAATCTTTTGCAATTTATACTAAGGCATTTTGATAGATTTAATTCCCTGGAGTTCATTTATAGCTTCTACATTTACATATTCCTAGCAAGTCTGATTATCTCCATTTCCTTGCTTTTTTTTTCTTTTCAAAGAAATCTTATTTGAATATTCATGTGCAACTATCTCATGGGGAGCGGGGGATTTGTACTTGTCATTTGATTCTGATTGAGTTTTTACTTGATTTTTTTTAAAAAAAAAATCAAGAATGAGAACCTGGGGAAGCGACTTGCCCATGGATACCCGTTTCTGGAAGCAGAAGTAGCATATTGTGCTCGAAACGAATACTGTGAATCTGCTGTGGATTTTATTGCCAGAAGATCTCGGCTAGCTTTCCTTGACACAGATGCTGCAAATCGGGCTCTACCCCGCGTGATTGAGATTCTGGCTGCTGAGCACAAATGGGACAAATCAAGGCAGAAAGAAGAACTAAAGAAGGGTAGAGAATTTTTAGAAACCTTCAAATCATCAAAGAATGCTCAGTTCCATGATGGGAAACACAAATAGCAAGGAGTCGTAAATGTAGATCCCGAAAGAGTTGCTAACCTCCTCTTTTGTCAAGCAACTGCTTCAGGGCAACAATGACTTGTACAACGTAGGTGTAGCTTTTCAGTTCTGCATGAACGGTTGATTGCCCCATCTCTCATCAGCCATCAGCCGAAATAATATCAATTTGGATGTCATCCATATATATACGATACTAATTTGGATAACATCCAAATTTGGATATCTTTACTCTTTTTGTGCAAGATGTCTACTGGGAAGACAAATGAGCCTAAATAATCCTTCTTTTGGATGTCATCTGTTTGTGCAAGATGTATGCAGTGAAGACACTTGTGGTTCTAGACTTCAGTGTTTGCTGATCTCTGAAAGTCATCTATATAATATTCGACAGACACAAAATTTACCCCACACACAGTGCTGGCATTGCTTCTGGACTAGTACTACTTAGCCATGGATTGGTACCTTAATGGCTTTTCTGATTAAGATTCTCGTTGAAATATGTATGGTGGAGTCAAGTGTTTAGAGCATTTTCTTGAAAAAGAAAATGAGGCAGCCTCTCCTTTTGGCTCTTTGGGCCATTCGCCAAGGATATATTTATATCCTTTTTACAACTTATATGAAAGTTAATCAGTTGACTCTAATCCTTCTTTACTCCTTTTGGCTGCTAACCATTGTTGCCTTCTTCACCCTATTAGTCAGTTATCATCATTTTGTTGGTGTATTTCTTATAGGAGTATTATTTTATCATGTAGTTTATGCTAGTGACCTCGTCATTTTTTAATTAGTAGTAGAAATCTAGGAAGATGATTTTTTTATGGTTATTATCACTTTAAATACATGATTTCGAATAAGGGTTGAATGACTCATTTCACGTCAATTTTCTAGTGTATATGTAACTTCTACATAAACTATTTTTCCTTTGAATGTTATGTTCGTGTCTTCATCCTATACGCATGCATATGTTACACATGTATCGTGTTCATCTAAACATATGAATCACTATCCTTCAAGAGTAATCAGGATTTGTATATCAAAAAAGATTTCATCTTGTTCTCTCTTTTTCTTTTTTGTAAGAAAAAAATGGAAAGAACGCAATTTGTTTTCTAATTCCATCAATGAAGACATTTGTCATGGAAGGATAATAAACATAAAAAGCTTGAATGAGTTGGCCTTAAACAGAAATAATTCCATGTATTGTATCATTATGCTTGTTAATCTATTTTTTTTTTCTCATAAGCATAAGGGATATAGGTTACCCTACATACCCGAACCTATCTATAGGGGTGATAATTTCTGACACGACCTGAAAACACGAAACGAACCTAATACGAAATTAATGGGTTTGGGTTGAGGTTTTGTGGGTTTGGGTTAGAATCGGGTCGAACCCGATGGACCCGAAAAAAAAACGGGTCGAATTCGGGTTAATCCGTGGGTGGCCTGATATGACCCGATAACTCGTTTACGAATTAAAAATAATTTAATAAACATAAAAATTATTTTATCTAACTAAACTAAGTTATTCTTTTTTTCCAAAGGCATTAATCACTTAATCATAAATGAATTTATTTAACTTGTGTGAAGTTGAAATTATTATATTTGGATAAATAATGTATTATATTATTTTTTACTTTTATACTGTTTTAATTTATTTTATATTTTATTTGGGATAAAACACTTTTACGGTGTTTTTATTTATTTTAGATTTGGTTTGGGATTATTTATTTAAATTTTTATTACTTAATTATGTAATTAGTCTTGTACGAAATTAATTTTATTAGAAATTACAATGGTAAATTAATAAATTAAAATTAAGTTTCGGGTCATTTCGGATCAACCCGCCAACCTGCCAACCCAAAATTTTCGTATTCGTGTCAAGTATTCTGACCCGTTTCGGATTGGTGGGTCAGGTTCGAGTCAGCGGGTTTTCTGTTATATCCGAATCTCAACCCGACCCGCCAACCCGAAACGGACCCGATTGCCACCCCTACTATAGGTTCACCGATTATACAGGTTTAGGATATGAAATACAATTTTGCTAAACCGCTACATACACTTAGGGTCAGCAAAATTACAAATGGATTGGTTACCCGATTCATGAATACTCCTAGTAACACTTTCATGTTTTTGAGATATTCTTTGACATGTCTTTTAATGACCTATTTATATTTTTACTATATTTTTATCCAACAAAAATTACATCCCAGCAAGGTGCTTATTATTATTTTTTTGGGAACTAGAAAATGCGATAAAATTGGAGCCATTGTTTCTTGTGGATCTCTGCAGTTTGTCTAATATATCTTGTTACCACCAAAAGAAACACAAAAAAAAGGAAAACATTTGACTTGTGAAAAAGGAAAAATGCTTATCTTAAGCGTTTTTTAAAACTCTATTGTATTTTGGATTTTTTTACACACACATTTAGTATTCACTTGACCTACCATATATATACATATACTTATAATTATTTTTCTCCATTACATTTATATACTTTCTTTATTTAATATTGTCTACCTTCCCTTATATTTATTTATTTTTCTAATTAATCTTATATTTTAAAAAATATAACATTTAAATATATCTTAACCATTTTTTTTTAGGTCAAGAGAGGCTGAAACCAAATTTACAAGATTAGATAGCGAATTGCACCCATCACATCGAATGGCTAGATCGAATTAACAGTATCTGGTGGATCTTAGGAGTAGTCAACCCCAAATTGAACATTAGGAGTGGTCAAAGCCGAAACATGTACACCCGTCAGCCTTCTATTGGGCTGATGAAATCAAGGCTGGCATTACGAGCTGAAACATTGGGCCTTTCTGGGGCTTTACCTCATAGTTGCTAACTAGCCGACGCTAATAGCCCTTTTAAATCTCCACTTTCGTTCTAGCAAGCTCTCACAAAATTATCAAACGCGAAGATCAGGAGAGGGAAAAATTATGGCGCAAATTCCCAATTTAGACAATGCTCCCATTAATCTCACTGCAATTAGGTTTGTTAATTATCAATTGTGTTAATGTATATTTAAATTGCTTCAACTACTCATTTACTCAAGAATTAATCTTGCTTCTCTGTTTTCTTTTTTTCTGGGTGAAATTCAGAGATCAGTCTCAGAAAGAACTTCTTACTATCCTGAAAAATGTAAGTTACATACTTCAGTTTACTCTTTTTTTTCCCTCTGGGTGACAGTTGAATTAATTTGTAAAATAATTCGAACAATTCAATATTTTTCATTTTTGTGGTGATTTTTTTTATTGGTAGATTCGAGGAAAGAAATGTTTAGCTATCGATCCCAAGCTTGGTGGTTCGCTTTCATTGATCGTCCAGAGCTCACTACTCAAGGCAATTCCCCTTTAATTCTTTTTTGTTAATACATTTTTGGCCCCAGCCAGTTGTGATTTCTATCATTATACATTTTCAGCTCGCTAATTGAGTTTTTTATTTAGTAAGATTGTCTGAGTTATGGGTAATCAATGTATTCTTTTGTGCGTTTTCTCGAAGATTTATCGTTCAGTTTACTGAAAAAACATAAGAACATTTTTGCTTAATTTTGGGTGTAACCTTGATCGGAGCAAAAACTGTTATCTGAATTGTAGTAATGAAGCGTGGCTTCTCAATGTGTGGACTAGCGAGTGAGAGTTTTTCTGAAATTAGTCAATTTTAAAGGTGTTTTGATATGTACAACAGGAACATGGGGCTGAATTGCGTCATCTTACTGCAGAACCAATTCAAACTGATTGCACCAAGGTCGTTTACCTGGTCCACAGCCAACTTGACTTGATGAAATTAATTTCCTCACAAATTCGTGATGATACTTCAAAGGGTCTTCAAAGAGAGTATTTTGTTTACTTTGTTCCTCGTCGTACTGTTGTGTGTGAGAAAGTAAGCTCCCTTTCCAATTAAGTTTGTTAATGCGTCTTTACTTGTTTGCTGAATTGATTATGATGTTTATGTTTGCTTAGATACTAGAGGAGGAGAAAGTTTATGACTTGTTGACTATAGGTGAGTACCCATTGTATCTAATGCCAATAGATGAGGATGTAATAGCGTTTGAGCTCGACCTTGCTTATAAAGTAAGTCTGCTTGTACTTTTGCTTTAGAAAAAGTGTTCTGTACATCTTGGAAAGGGACATATCTAAGAGCAGGTTAGCTTTGCCTGATAGGATCATTTGGCGGATGGAGACACGACCTCTCTCTGGCACATTGCAAAGGCTCTCCACAAACTAGAGGTCCATTTCTTCTGTTTCTTATCCTACTAGTCAAAATCAGTTTATTCACTTCCTCGGTTTGCCCATGTTTTCTGATAGCCTTCTTTTACTGGATGAATGCAGTCTACTTTTGGAGTGATACCAAATATTAGGGCCAAAGGGAAAGCATCTGCACGTGTTGCAGACATTTTGAATCGCATGCAAATTGAAGAACCTGTTAACGCATCAGATGTACTTATGCTTCAACTTATAGGCTTTTTATATTTGTTTGATTTGAGAATCTTCTATGTTGTTTATTGGCAATTTAAAGGATCTTTTCTTCTTGCTGCAGGCTGGCATGCCAGAAATCAATACTCTGATCCTCCTAGACAGAGAGGTATTCACTCATTCACTCTGTCTCTCTCTGTCTCTCTTTCATAGATAGATAGATGGATGGGCACAGATATGTGTATATGTTTATATGTGTGAAAGGGTGTATGTGTATTTATGTACAAGCTTAGACCAGATTACTGATGTATATACGACTGTTTCTCCATATGACATCTTTATATTTACTATTAACTTTATAGTAGTTCATCACCTCATGCTCAGAGAGTTATTATGCACTCGAATAAGTAAATTGTTTTTTGTTATAATCATCATGAATGAGCTAGAGTAGGAGGTTGTAACATCTGGCTAGCTACCTACGGTGGGAACTGTTCCAATCAGGGGGAGGTACATAGGTGTCTGTTGACCATTCTGGGTTGCTGAAAGTGTACACGTGTCCATCACAAAATTTTGAAATTACATTTCAAAATATTGTAATTTGAGATATTAAAGCCTGGGTAAAGGCAGGCTATTCCTTTGGACCAAAGATTACTCATCTCCAGTCATGGTATTCATGGACTTGGTTTGAAGGCTTGTTCTCTGAAAAATTTAATCTACTAGCACTAAGCAATCTATTATCATGCCTTAGTTTCAGGCTTGAGTATTGGGATTTTAATTGTAATGCTAAGAAATATCTTCAGTCTGATTGCTATTTGTTGTTTCTGCTGCAGGTAGACATGATCACTCCTTTGTGTTCTCAGTTAACATACGAGGGGCTGCTGGATGAGGTAAAATGCAAAAGAACTTCATTGGACACTAATAAACTAAATTTGCGTACTAATTTGCATTGCTGAGTACTACTTTACAATAACTGCAATTCCTGCTGGATCAAATGTAATTTTCTCTTTTGGTAGTTGGCTAATATGATCCGTGTCCTGTGTATTTGGCTTACAATATATTGCTTAGCTTTTCTACTGGTTGCATGCAGTTTCTTGGTGTCAATAATGGTGCAGTGGAAGTAGACTCATCTATTATGGGTGTTCAGCAAGAAGGAAAAAAAATGAAGGTTCCCCTTAATTCAACGTATGTTAGTTCTATATATGCCCTACTTAGCTTCTCTCATCTTCCTGCGATTCTTATTCTTTACTTTGTGATGATCTGTTGTGCTGTATGCTTATCTCTTCCAATCCCTGTTGTCTAAACATCTTAAAAAATGCTCTTCATCTCTTCCATGCCAAAGCAAAATTGGGTTTCCTCTGAGCAATTTCACAATCAATTGAGTTTTTTTCTTTGTGAAGAATTCTGAATTTGTCTATGCCTTTTTTTTTTTCTAAGATGAAAGGTTTTTGCCTTCCCTGCTGGCTGGCTATTTGTAGACTTTCCCCTTCTAATTGATGGTTCAATTCTTGTCTAGTTGTTCTGTGCGCAAGTATACATCAGTGCGACATGTAAATATCTTGCATGCCTTGGCTTTGTAACATTTACTGATTCTTTTTCTGCTGTTACTCCAGTGACAAACTGTTCAAAGAGATACGGGACTTAAACTTCGAATTTGTTGTCCAGGTTGACCTGTTTTGAGCATTTTTTCATGTCCGCTCACATCCTGTTTAATTAGTTTATCATTTTTCTCATGTGCATTCACAGTGTGATTGCAGGTTCTACGTCAAAAAGCAACATCCATGAAACAGGACTACACAGAGATGACAACTACTGTATGTGGTCATTAAAGTAGTTTTCTCATTTTTTAAGCCCCAAACCAACTTTATGTTCAGTTTTGTTACTAAGTATTAAATTGGCTAGTTTGTACAAAAGAACATATGGTCCAAAATACTTCCATGTAGTTGTGCAAATTCCATGTGCTCTTGCTGATGAATTTTTCAAAATGGAGACTCGACTGATCATGTCGGTAAAAAGGCTTAGTGTTTACATGTCTATACGGTTACTGGTGGCAGATTACCTATTATATACTGCTTTCTCCTATATTGTTTTTGTTTTTAAAAGAATAACAACAAAATAATTCCCCATCAAAGCTCGGGACAGAAGCCAGTGTTATTAGGAACATATACGGGAGAATGTCTAATAGATTTTAAAAAATGTAAAGTGATATCTACCTAGTAGTGTATAATATTGTGGATTCATCATAATGAAGTAAAATATTTTTTGCTAAGCCCTAGAGCATCTTCTTCTACATGGCACTAAGAATTGCCGAAAAGAACAGTCAGGTTTTCCTTCTTAATTACATGGATGGCTTTGTCATGTGGATCCATTGTTTGAGCAAACTTAATTATACTTATTTCCTCCCCCCCCCCCCCCCCCCAAAAAAAAAACAAAAAAAAAGTTATTCTTGTTTCTCCAATGTGAGGATCTTTATATTGCTCTACACACTAAGAATATTCTCTGACATGGTGCTGCATTGCATACAGAATCAAACAGTATCTGAATTGAAGGACTTTGTGAAAAAGCTGAACTCGTTGCCTGAAATTACTGTAAGCTCTTCACGGATTAACTGCAGTTATCGTTCTGGATGGTTCAATTGTCAAGTTCCAGATCTAAGTGCAGTCAACTATTGTTTCAGCGGCACATAAATCTTGCTCAGCACTTGTCAACTTTTACATCAAAACCTTCATTTCTTGGGCGTCTTGATATGGAACATACAATTGTTGAGGCTGAGAGCTATGACATGTAAACTCAATTTCTTTATCTTTTAATTCTTCTAAAGTGAACTCAGAGAAGTGTACATTTAACTGACCCTTTTACTTAATAAAACTTTGTTAAATCAGAAGATTTAATATGAGCTAAACTTGCTGTGGCTTACTAACATAATAAGCTTCATTTGATGTGGAATGCTTATCTTCAGGGTAACTTACACCTAGCTGAGTCCAGTTTTGTTCTGGTTGCAAAATTTTTCTTCTTTTCTCTATCGAGTTAACTTTACCAACGTGATTGCTTGTCATGGTTACTGTTGTGTAGATATTCCACCTGCTTTCTCAACTGCCAAATCATTTACTTTGACCCCCATTTTTTCCGGGTAACTTTGGGGGCTTGCATTTGAAGTTTGAAGCATTTTGGATTAATTATCCTCTTTTATTTGCTATATATTTTCCAAACATGGTAGTATATATTCTAACCTTGATTTCCACAGACACTTTAAATGCCCTGTTCACTCAGTGCTTTTCCCAAATTACATTCTCAGTGAGTCTGATCTCCAAACCTCCTTTGCCTCCCTTGGAAACTAGTGTTGTCATCATTGTCTTTTTATAACCTCTGTTTTCGTTTGCCCTCAACCATGATCAAATAAATTTGCATGGATTCCACATAAACATGGTCCATTGTCCCTTGATGACCTACTTGGCTGCAGAAACTAATTGTGGACATTAATGCAGATGCTTCGAGTACATTGAAGAGATGATCCACAAGCAGGAGCCTCTAGTTAATGTTCTGCGTCTCCTGATCTTGTTTTCAATAACAAATTCAGGACTGCCCAAAAGGAATTTTGACTATTTGAGGCAAGTGGAGGGCAGAATGAATTGATTTTCTGTTTAGTCTGATTTTGCATTTCACATGTGGTATTTCATGATTTTTTCTCTGAGTTTTCAGTATCTTTTGAAAACTTGTTGACCTCCATATTGTTGTTTTAGGAGAGAGTTGCTTCACAGCTATGGTTTTGAGCACATGGCAACTCTGAATAATTTGGAAAAAGCTGGTTTGTTCAGGAAGCAGGTCTGAATAGCACATCATATCTTTCACATAACACAGTTGTATGCATTATTGACCTGATTGTTGTATAACTTTTCATCTTATCCCTTGCAGGAGACAAAAGGCAACTGGATTACGATCAAACGCGCTTTGCATCTTGTGGTTGAGGATACTGATACAGCTAAGTAGGGATTGATTTCCTGTCATTGATCAATATCTGATTATATTTGTTCCAATCAAAGAAGTTTTAGTATATTCCGGTAGTAGGTGATAAAGGACGAAAAGGATTTTCTCAGAAAACACCTCCAGTTTCCAAATCATGTTTCATCTCCTTCAGAAACGATGGTGGCATATAAATTATTTATTCTTTCTATTAGTGGTACACCAGGAAAAAGTTTGTAGCATGAGAAACTCCTAGAAACTTTAGCTGACCACTGATAGCTCCCATCTTGCAAAGATAAGTTTTTGGGGAGAAGGGTAGTGATTTAGCCAAATTTGGTAGCAGTTAATAAAATCCATGTTGATGATTCAGTTAAGTCCATCAGATATCTAAGTGGTCTATCTTTCGTGGGCTGACTTCTTTTGAATTTTTCTTAAATTTAAGTTGACTTCAGTTTTAAAGCATCTGGTTGTGCAGAGTGGAATTAGTGGGTAGATAATATGTTGAATTAGATCAATAGCTAGAGTCTCAATAACCCAACCAGTAAGATATTTCATTGTTCAGGGAAAGATTAAATTTGAAAGACATTCTTTGGGAGAGAATGGTAAACTTTTGATCTCAACAAAGAATGAAAATTGCAGTTGCTGATAACCAAGAAGAGATGTAACTGTCATAGGTATAGCATGTAGAAGGGCATGCTGTCTGACCATATCTATAATTTGGTTAAATCTTTTGTTTGGGAATGTAGTTCTTTTTTGGCTTTCAGTTCTGTATAGTGCCTGATCAATAAAGTGCTTTACTTTTTTGTGGGAAAATTTTTCTAAGCATCTGTAAAGGTCATTCTGCATTGTTTGTTAGCTAAACCATTTGTAGAATTATTTACTGACTTCTAGAAGTTTCTGCATTCCTCTTTGTTGTTGCTAACTTGTGATGCTTTTGACATAACAGTCCCAATGATATCTCCTATGTCTTCTCTGGATATGCACCTCTCAGTATTCGCCTTGTTCAGCATGCAATCCGATCTGGATGGTAAGATTCATTTTTGAAGCATGTTACCAATTTGACAAGCCAAATTCTTGCATCTAGCTGTTTGGCTTGTTTGTTGGAAGAATACGAGTCTAAACATGGTTTTCTCATCTAAATCCAAAGGCTCCAAAATGGGGGTTGGGAGCAGGGAAGAAAGTAGGTATACAAACATAACGTATTTTCTTTGCAGCTATTTTTCTTGGGGATCTTAGTTGCTATTATATAGAGAACTAAAAGTGGACTGTATATTAGTCTGAAGAAAAGGAATGAACAAAATAAAACTCCAGTTTCTTCAGTGGATTTTTTTTTTACGGTTTAGAGCTATGTGGTCAGAAGAGAAAAGATTCACTAGGGGTAAAAGGTCTAGTGAAGATTTAGACTTGGCTTGCTGCTTATGGAGTTGCAATAAGTGCCCGCCAATCTGGTCCTTCTTACTTCAATTGTCACTCTCAACTGTGGAAGCTGCTGCTTCTACAACATCTGATGCATATTTAATGTCTGTATTCGCTATTACAGGTGTTGAAAAACCTCTCTTGGAAAGTAGTTTTGTTGTATATGTTTCATTGGTGCTTGGATGAAGTAAACACTAACCCCTTTATTTTCAATACAGTTGATTTTAGGCAACATGTCTAAATACAGATAGTTTTAGACAACATGTCTAAACACAGATGTTCCTCTTGAATTTCAGATCAAGCATTAGAGTAGAATTTGTATCTCCATGTAGTTTCAGTGGAAGTGTCAATTAAAAACCATGAGATAAATGATTGACATATTTTGAGAAAAGATGTTGCTATTCAAGGAATTGTTAGCTCTAGTTTTTCATTCGAATTGAGGACCCCAAAAAAACTTTTATCTTTCTATTACTTGAGTTTTGAAAGAGTTTTAAAATGCTTTGTCTTTGAATACTGTGTAAAATTAGAGTTTCAAACAGGTCTTTACTGTACTGGATGCTTCGAATATTTTGAATTGAGTGTTCTATTCATCTTCAAGGTTTGCTTTCTGGATCAAGAGCAAACCATAACTTTAGTTATTTAGGAATTCATTGTATATTCTACCTTCTCAAACCTCTTTCCGTTATTGAGTGATATAACTTATTTGAAGTAGTATGAGATGTGGCTTTCTGTAATCTTGTGGTGAAATAAATTTTCAGGCGCCCTCTTGAAGATGTACTGAAGTTACTGCCAGGACCACATACAGAAACCAAGAGAGTCAGTATTGTGTTCGCCTAGACTTTCTTTGTCATTCTTTTTACTGCTAGACTCCATGTTCTTGTTATGATAAGGACGCTGCACAAGACTCTTACTATGGTTTATCTTATCAACAGAGTGGATATGTTGGCGGTTCATATGACAATCTTTCCAGTTCTGTGCTCAACTTAGCCAAGTAAGTTTTCGGGCAGTACATTGATATTGTCATAATTGTTTGCTTCCTATATGAAGAAGGATCCTGTGATGCTGTACGAATGCAGGATCATTGGTCTAGAGTTGCAATGCATTGTTTAGGTAGCAACAAAAATTTCCTTCCTGTTTCTAATGCTATATTGCCTCTCTCGGTTTTGTTTATGCTCTCTTTTAAATGAATCTGATTAGAGGTTTGGAATTATGAAAGTTGTATTTGTTCCCAATTGTGTTTGGAGATTGGGATTTTGAGCCAAAGAGCTTCAAAAGCTAAGAGTTGAACCAAATTCTCTTTTTGACACCTATTGAAATTTCAGAGTTGGAGATGGAAGGCGCTCTTTGGTCCTTGTTGTTTTCGTTGGAGGGGTTACGTTTGCAGAAATCGCTGCTCTTCGTTTCCTCAGCTCTCAGGTATGTTTTCAATTGCAAGTCATACGTTTCAAATGACTTTTTCTTTCAGTGTTTGACAGATCATGAGTTACTTTTAGTGCTCATTGCAGTATATCAAAATGCAAGAATATTTTAGTACTACTATTTGGGTATTGTTCATTGGAGTGCCAATTTGACTAATTTCATGTTTCTAGTAATTTCAAATGTGAATCACTGAAGGTTATGGTTCATTGTCATAACTGTCTCACGACAGTGAACCATACGCCAGACAGCGTCTGCTTGTGCTCCCTTGGTGGTGCTATTTCCCTTGGTCAAACCACCCTTGGCCTTGGAAAACCTTCAGTGCTTCTTTGTACTCTCAGGCAGCAAAGGACAAAATGGAAAAGTGCATTCTCTTGCTGTCTTGCATTATATGATACTGCTTCCTTGCAGGCAAAGAACTATGAAATAGCCCTGCTTTGTCTCCAGTTTTCAACCTTTACCTTAAATTTCTTCTTGTCTCGATCACCATTGCATCTGCTGCTGCTGTTATCTTGTCCATGTCATCTTGTCAATATTGCTAAATGCATCCGTGCAATTTTCACCGTGCAGGAGGGAATGGCATATGACTTAATAATAGGAACCACGAAGATCATCAATGGTCAAACGTTAATTGAACCATTTGTTGAGAAATTGGGATAACTTTTAAAGATCCTTTTGGACAGTTAGTGAGCTGCAGAAGAGGAAGGAGGCTGCTCCTTGCTTGTCACGCGGAAGATCATAGCCAGCTTGCTTCCTTTTGATTGTTAAGCAGATGTTTGACTTGTATGCGAGGTGTCCGTTTTGACAATGGATCGTAAATGGGTTTGTACAGAAAGAAATGAATTCTAGCCCTTTTTAGGAATGCTTGCCAGGTGGTTTGCACTTCAGGAGTATGGTGCCAAATTTGGAGTCATTTCATTCACCACCTCATCTGGCGGCCTGTCTGTATTTTTTGCTGGCAAAAGATATGGAGTCTGTTGGACTGGATATCTTTGTAGTATGAATTGGTCGGATGTATTTCACCTCGTAAGTAATTATGATTTGAACCTACAGTTAATTAATCTCCATTTCTCGACTACATGGACGTATGTTTGTAAAACAAGAGCTTGTTTCGCTGAAATTCTTTTTTACATACTAGGTTTTGGATTTCATCTTTTACTTTTGGACAAGCTAATTCTGGAGGATGAAGTTGGTAACCCTTCTAATGAGGGGATCATTTACCTAATGAGGGTAACGGGTTGACCGTTTTACATTGAGTTCGTTGCACCTGCCCTACAAACACACTTGCTGTATCAATTTTGCTAACGTCAATATGTAAACATTAACAAAGTCCGTCAACCGTTGTAAGTTATTTGAGATATTTTTACTGTAGCACTATTTGTGATGTGATGTGATGTATGTGAGATAAAAAGATAATTGGGAATATAAAAAGGTGTATTGAAAATTGTAATGATGATGTAAGCAAATATATTTGGAAAAATAATCAGCTGTCCAAACAAACCCACCTAAGTACTGATTGTTATCATTAAATGCATGATACATAATTTGAATTTAAATTTGAAACTCAAATTTTACAAATGTATCATGCATCTAACCGTGATAATATATAGACTGTCAGTATATATAAGATTTACTCATTAAATAAGGGTGAAAATCAATTTTTTCACTTACAAACATCCTTACCCTCTCTCTAGCTCAGGGACGTTTCATTCCCCAGCATGACTGTAACTAATACGTCTGATTAATTTAATGTTAGCTGCTTTTCTTACCCCCAGGAAAATTTTTTTTTTCTTTAGTACTTGCCTTGGAATCTTTTTGTCTTCGTTTTGACCCCAAAGACGCGCACCTGCGATGAGACTTGAAGGATTCCTTTTCCTTTTCCTTTTCCTTTCCTTTTTCTCCATTATTCCCTTGCTTTGGGGGAACGCATTTTGGAACGGCATTCCTTATGTTCTGCTTTGGCTGGCAGGTGACGAAGAGCTTCCTGGTTCTATTATTTCTTGTTTGAAAGGGCAAGGAAGCTGGTAGGTAAGGTTATTCATTGGCTGGAAAAGGATCTTTCTCGACGGATTACTTTCAAGAATCCATTACACAAGTTTTTCTAAGCCGCCAGAATCACAGGAACCTCAACTTTGAGATTCTAAGGGGATTCTTCTTCTTCCTCCCTCCCCCACCCCCAACCCCCGGGGCCCGCGCCAAACAATTCATATTACGTCAATGACATAAAAATGAGGGTATTGGCGCCGGTAATTGATGATTACCGTGAAGAAAGGTCATATAAAGATTTAAAGATGATAATGAGCAGTGTTGTGGTAAAATAAACTTCACTGCAACATCCATCAAACCTATGCACTGCATTTTAACGCCATGATGGAAATAGTAAAACAGAAAGCCTTTAACAATAACGTGATCTTAACAAAAATTTCTACAAATGGAGGTCTGTCCTCGGAGCAGTGGCAGCTATGTTCAAGAGTGTCTCTGAAAGAGAGAGTTACAAAATGACCTGTTTCTGTGTGCAAAAAGTTTTAATACACTGAAACAGCTATTATGCACATCTTGAGGACTGAAATTTCCACCTGGAATATAAATTAACAGCCAAACAACCACGCTTAGTGTTCCCTTGGCATTTCAAAGCATCCTGTTTTGACCAATGTTAATTCCATGGCTCCAGGATCAGCAATAGATGTCCTCACAATTAACTCGGAATCCACCACCTTCCTCATGGTCAAGATACAATTTTACACATCAATCAGTTAACTCCCTTCATGCCTCTTTCTCAGCATACCTTTCAATTCCAGGACTGGCTTTAACATAACCAAGAAGTGATAGAGGCAAGGGAACCCCACGGAGTGGCGGGATTCTATCGCTTTATACAGGATGTGATTTCATACATCTACATCTTCCAATGGAACTTCTACGTGGGCAGTGACTAGCTTAAGTGAAGTGGCACATTAAACTCGTCTATCTTGGAAAGAAAAAAAATATCTGAACCTTCAACTGAATGTCACGAACTAACTGGTTCAACTCGCTGGAGAAGTTCCAATACACTGCTTGCTTTTCTTTTAGCCCTATCAGTGCCACTCTCTGACAATTCCCTCAAAACCTCTTCTGCCCCAAGGTCTTTAGCTAATTTCAGGTATTGCCCATCGCCTGTGCACAATGACCACAGAATAGCGGCAGCATTCTCCCGGTTGCGTGGAGAGCTGGTCCGAATGACCTCTACCAATACCGGGATTGGGTCAGCTTGACCAATTGCCACTTTCCCCTCTGGATGGCTAGCAAGTATGGCCAATATTGCAAGAGCTTCATCTACCATTCCACCGCCAGGATCCTTCAGCAATCCTATTAATGGTGGCACAATCCCTGATCTAACTGCCCTCACTTTGTTTCCTTGATAGATTGAAAGATTAAATATGGCAGTGGCTGCGTCCTTCTTTCCTCTTGGGGTCCCTTGGCAGAGTAAGTCAATAAGTGCTGGGATGGCCCCAGCTGCTCCTATTGCAACCTTGTTCTCATCAACAACCGACAAACTGAAAAGGGTAGCTGCTGCATTTTCTCTTGCTTCCATGCTTCCAACTTTCAGCACATCCACAATATCAGGTATGGCACCAGCATTTACAATAGTTCCCTTGTTGGCCTCATTTATCGAAAGGTTGAGAAGTGCTGTAACGGCATGTTCCTGAGTCCGAGAATCTGGCGAGCCTAGTAGTTCAGCGAGTAGCGGTATTGCTCCAGCCTCAGCAATACAGACTCTATTATCTGCATTTCTTTTTGCCAGCAAGCGAAGTTCGCCAGCAGCTGCTCGTTGTTCTTCAGGATTACCATTTGCAAGTTTCTGTAACAAAGCATCAATAGCGGCTCGGTCACACTCTGAACCACCAACTCCTGATCTTTTATTTCTACAACTTCCTTGCTTTTTAGGCAGCTCAACACCATTGCTCTCACACCAGAAAGCAATTAGACTCTTTAAAACATAATTAGGCGTTAAGGCTGTATGCAATAAAGTCTGCTGAGTCTTGGGGCATGTTTTGTGTCCTGCATCAAGCCATTTTTGTATGCAGGATCTTTCATATGTCTGAAAAAGAAAGAAGAACAAACAGCAGTTAAAAAAAATATGGTAAAACATGCAAAATAATAAATTGTTGCAAGTTACAGTGAGGTAAAAACCTGTCCAGTTGATACAATAACAGGATCTTTCATAAGCTCAAGCGATATTGGACAACGAAAATCATCTGGGATAACCGGGGACCTGAGCTTCACAAAGCTCTTGTCACCTTCAGGGGCATCAAAGTCGGGGTTCTCCATCAATACACAATCCTTTAGCTTTCTTAGGAGTAGTGACATTGTTTCAAAGCGCTCATCAGGAAGCCCGCCATGTGTAATAACCATATCATGGATAGCAAGTGATTCTCTCTTTAGATCATTTATAGTTCTAAGATGTAGCTTCTCTGATAGCCTCTTTAAAATTGCAGGATCAGGGTTTCTTTCCCTCTGCGCTATAGTCAAATCCATTTCAAGTTGTAAATCAGGTGACTCCATTCTTCCTTTTGCTCTTCTGAATTGTGTATGCACAAGTTCAATCTGGAACAAACAAAAATAGCCAATTGTTGTCAAGATAAAGAAAGATACGAACAGGACATGCTGAGGGTGTTCCAAAATTACAACAATCTTTAAATATCAATTCATTAGCTTGTTACCTGTTCTTGAACTTCCTCTGTTATATCAAGCGTCGTGTAAGGAACGTGACATAGTGCTTCTTCAATCAGTTCTGTTATCTGATGAAACTTGACTGTAATTTGTTCCAACTGCAGAGCCTGTAACACGGAGAACAGAGCAAAATTAAAGCCACATTCTTAATTTCCAAGTTTAATACTTTTAGATGGATAAGCAACTTAAGATGAATTAGAAAGACGAAAGCCTTAGACATAGCAGGAAAAGCCCATCTTTTTAGCATCTAAGATCAGAAGAAAAACAAGAAAATCTTCGTTTTTTCCTCCCCAAACAAACAGCCAACAAAATTACTTTATACATGATACCAATTTGCAACATACATCTATGTTTGAAGTTCAGCAAAATATCGAAAAGATGGATTCTTTTCTCTTTTCCTACTTCTGGGCAATCAAATAGACACACAGAACTAGAACTTAAGCTACAATAGCAACGAAGCTAAAATTAGACGGAAAAAATGATTAGAATAGAAAGAGCAATACCTGTAAGATCTTACTGCCTTCATGGACTGATTTAAGAAGCTCCAGAGCCGAGTTAAGAGCAATTCTCAACAGCTCAAGCCCTCTTACGACATCGTCCTGGAGCTCCTCTTCACCGTCCTTCAATTCCTCAAACAGAGGGCTTAATAACTTGATTCTCCTAACCAAATTACAATAGATCTTCTTGACTACCGCTCTGCACTCGGGAAGAGTAGAAACTGTCCGTATTGTCTCACTGAGCTGGCTCAGTAACGCCTCTTGTGAATTTCCCCTGGGACTCATAGGGCTCCGGAGCTAAATTTGAGGTCCTCTTGAGAATTTGGGCAGTGCCCAGATGATAAAAAATGAAAGAATATTGGTAGGTGAAGGCAGGTTCTAGCTTTCAGGTTGGTTTGACCCGGAAATTCAAGAAAATTCAGGGGAAAAAAAATCCGAGATTGATGGATTTTCAGATGATTAACGATTGACTTTGAGGGATTAATGGAGAGAAAGGGAAGAGGAGGAGATGAATTATAGGATGGAGTTTTAGGTGTGAAGAGCGAAAGCAAACTTTGTCAGACGCGGAAAGGAAGAGTTGAATTTAAACTGGTTTTTGTTAGTTGCTGTTCCTGTTGCTTTCCTTTTTCGTTAGAGTTTTTGTTGAAGTTTTTTTTTTTTTTTTTTAAAGTACTGAATAATTTGTCAAGAGAAAAATAGTACTAGTACTTAATAATTATGTGGTGCCAAATGCATGAATGAATTATGAGATTAATATTTAATTAATCATGTTTACCGACGTTTAACAGTTCATATAATCAGCAAAGCAGAAGGTGAATCCTATATTTCATAACAGTTTAGGTTATTGGGCTTCAAGTTTTCTAATTTTTCTTTCTTGGTGTTTTTGACTTTTGATCTTCTTTTTCTGTCTTCTAGTTCTTCCCCCTCCCTTTCTGTCTATGGGGTCAAAAACTATTTCCAAACAAAAATTAGGTCTCAAGTTTAATTAGTAAAGGTTTACATTCATACACTTGGACTAATCATAATGGTCCAAGAACTAACGAACGGATGAGGTATTAGTTTTGAGTAAATCATAATATACACTGACAGTGTATACATTATCACCGTAAGATTCATGACATAAAATTCAACTTTTGTATAGTTGTCATTCATCAAA